AAAAAAAAAAAAAAAAAAAAAAAAAAACACTTGTCAGGAAATTTTGGTTTCGTTTTTTCTAAATCCTATCATTTGCCTTCTAGGGTTGTAATGGTACACAAAAGCAAAGGTACGTACCTCAGATTTGAAGTTGCATTTCGGTATGGAAAACCATTATAAAATGGACAACATTTGAAAGATGAGGCTATTGCTGTGTTCAAAATCACCCCCATACCCTTCCCTACATTAGTACACTAGTATAGTGTAGTTGGAGTGAATGAAAACGAGTGAGTCTGCCGCTTTTGCATAGTTTGTGCTTGCTGTTTAATAATCATTTGTAACTTAGCAAAATGGCTAAGCTCTAAACTAGCATGTATAAACCTTACTTAAATTATTTAAGAATTAATTTAAACAAAATGTATACCTATACGATATAATGCTGTACCCACATTGGACCAGTGGTATGGAAAACAGATGAATGGTTGATTCAGCTGAGGGCACCATTTTCTGGCGAGATGAGGGAATAAATTTGGCACAACCCTTTAAGTGCATTATGGGTATTCTCTAGCCTGTGAGTGTACATCGGTTGTTACTGTGGTGCATTATGTGGTTAAATGAGTATACTCAACTTCCACTATGGTTTCAGACACCACTATAAAATGGCTGTCCCCTATTTAGGAGTATGGGGGCGATTTCGGACACAGCCTATGATTCTTATCGATAACAATACACAGAGCCTATTGTGAGTGAGTGACATGACATGTGGCCAAGCATGGTGACCCATACTAGGAATTAGTGCTCTGCATTTAACCCATCCAAAGTACACACACAGCAGTGAACACACACACACCGTGAACACACACCCGGAGCAGTGGGCAGCCATTTATGCTGCGGCGCCCGGGGAGCAGTAGGGGGTTCGGTGCCTTGCTCAAGGGCACCTCAGTCGTGGTATTGAAGGTGGGAGAGAGCGCTGTACATTCACTCCCCCCACCTACAATCCCTGCCGGTACGAGACTCGAACCCGCAACCTTTGGGTTACGAGTCCGACTCTCTAACCATTAGGCCACGACTTCCCTCTTGTGATTATTGGTGGTAAGACTGGTTAATAGCCTACAACGCTGTATTTCTTGTGTACATATGCGTACTGAACCAAAAAGCACATATGAATACGTGTGCTGCTTTACCCCTAATGCTTCCAAAAACTTAAACAGAAAATGTCGCAGGGATAATTTTATGAGAATTTTGAATTTTTTATTTATTTATTTTTTCCTAATTTTATATTTATTTAGATAATCAAAAACATACATTCACATATCAACACAACTAACAACACAACATGCATACAGACATTGTGATTTTACATTGTGTACATTGTGGCGAGTATCCCGGTTCCAGATAAGCGTAGCCCTGGAAACGCCGCTGCCACACTGATCACAGAAGCACAACACCTGTGCGTGATGAGTGGCGCACCTGGAGCTCATTCCCGCTGGCCATAAAAGCCAGGAGCAGAGACACCAG